TGAAGTAGAATGAAAATACGCGTCCACTTTTGTTCTCAAATAAAAGTTAGTATGATGTCTAGAAATCTGGCGGAGAAAATTAAAAATAAGGCCATTTTTAAATTTCTGTGCCTGTTTTTGTACACAAGTCACGGAAAATTTATTGAACGACCTCGGTTGAAATTAAGTTTCTCAATAGCTTAGTAATAGAATCGACATATATCAATTTTGATAAGTAATAGCAACTGAACAATTTCAAAAATCTTGATTTATCTATTTCTCGATAAAAACGATAATATAGCTTTATTTATGAAGTGTGTTTTTAATTTTTTCCACGTATGGAAATTAATTCTGTAGTTAGTAGTTTTCTAATTAATCATAGACATAAAACATAAAACGTTAATTTGATACTTATGATTAATATCGAAATTTTAGATAATTCATAATTTTAGGTAAATCAAATATAGAGAGTATAAGTCTCACAGCTTTATTTCAGTCTGTGAAAAACATCGTGAAAAAAGTATGACATAATATTTTTTAATCTTTGTACCCACGCAATTTTCTTACTTCATAATTATCATTAAGCTTAGTTTTTGATTGTAATGATTTTTAAATGTATTTACTATCACACATCTGTCATAAGTTGAGTACACATTATTTTGAATTTTCTCTTGCAGTATTATTAGTTAAAATGGCGTGTTGGCCTAGATTTTTATGATAATATATATGAATATGTACATCCATTAGAGGTGGTACATATTTTTGTAGGTATATAAAGATTAAGATTCTCGATTTCTTATCGAGGAGAATGTGAGTGCCCAATGTTTTATTCTTTGTTCTAACATTATGGTTTAAGTGACCACAATAATATAAATACCACTATTATTTAGTTGTTACGAACACATAACGAAAACCAATAACATCAGAGCTGCTAAGGGGACGACATTTACATAAGTATTAGAGGTATTAGCGGCATCGCAACGTCTCAATAGAGGTCTAATCGCAGTATTAAGTGCGCCCAGCTGAGTTTCAATTAAGTCCTGTATTAGTTCATATTCATTCAGTCGGTCCTTTCATATAAATATATGTGATATTTATGAAATTTTGTCATAATGTAAAATAAAAACATTTTAGATACCTACACTGGCTTACAGGTAAAATCGGTATGGTAAATCTATGTATGTTTTAACCTTTTATATGTAAAAATGTTTACAAGGTTTTTTTACATGGAAATGTATCATTACAGTACAAATGAAATTTCTGGCGGTGTTCATCTGAACTACGTCGACAGTACCCGGTATTGGATTTACTGAATTTATAATAGTACTAACGATAGTTATACATAGTTCACATAGTTGCATAGTCAAGCACTGAACAGGCTGGATTATAAAATAGGTACCACGATATAGTAGGAAGTAATGATATAGTAGGAAGAGAACTGCTTACCATTTTGTGTTCAACACTTTCATTCTTGAAAATTTGCATTGCCAATAAAGGTCGGACTACAAGTTTAATTAATGTCGTCCAAAACACATCTGTACTCAGAAGAATCGTTAAATCCCTACTATATAATATATACTAAACATATAATCCTTACTAATATGATAAACGCGAAAGTTTGTATGTATGGATGGATGTTTGTTACTCTTTCACGCAAATACTACTGAATGGATTTAAAAACTTTACAATAATATAGCTTATATATCAGAATAAGACATAGGCTATAATTTATATACATATTTTATGTATATCTGTCGTTCTGTCTGAATCTTATGCTTCAGCCGTAGAATAGGCTGAAGCATAAGATGCAGACGTGTTCGCGGGCAGCAGCTGTTATTTAATATATGTATAACAGTGGTATATAATTAAATCATTATTTACATTGATTACATTCTATAAATACGACAGAGGGTACTTTGTATATTTATATTGAACTAGGGAATCGCATTGACTTTGCCCGGGTGCAATTTTTCAAATACATATATGTGCCGTAAAGTGTGTGATTATGTTACTTATTTATACTTTTTCCCATATTGAGTGAAAAAAGCTCGGCGGATAATTTATTATTCTTTATCAATATTTACAAGATGAAATTATTACTACAATCTCAGAAGATGGACATATATTGCAGCGGACAATGTAAAAAAATATATATTAGCATTGATGCAGGTCCCTTTTTCACATATTATTAACATTGTGTAAGTCAGTTTCTAAATTTCCTGTAAAGAAGAAACATGAGTGGACCTTATAATTAAATAAATAAGAACAGAATTAAACCTAGTTTTGAAATGTAATTGACACTTTGATGTGTATTTTAAAGATTTACAAGACAACAACTCTATCAAAATATGCAAATTATATAAAATATGCCTAACACATCCATGCGTGTGCCGATGAAATATTCCCCCCAACGCTTCACGATTTAGCAGACGTTGATATAAATCCGTTCATAAAGTGCAAGTTTCTTTGTCATTAACCAATGCTTCGCTACAATCTCAGGTAAGGAAAGTGAATATATCCGCATATAATACTTTCTTGTGACTTTAATTGTCACTAAGGTCACTGTTTAGCTTAAGATTTGAATTACACTCCTTTACTATTACACTCCTTTTTTGTTTAGCTTAAGATTTGAATTACATATTGCGTTTGTACGATATCAGTTATTATTATAGTTATACATGAAATTACAGCGTTGACTTCTGAATTTTTTTAATGTATCATTGGCCATAATTTTATTGTCTTACCTATTTTGATTACTAATACTAGTTTAGCTAGACAGATGTTAAAAATAACAATAATATTTGAGAACAAGACCGCAGAGTTTCTTGCCGGTTCTTCTCTGTTCAGGTCTGGTTTAGTGAACCGATGGTAGATTTTTTGTTGATGTTCAATAAGAGCTTAAGTTAAACCTACATTAAATAAAGATTATTCGACTTTGACTTTATCAGCGATCGATACAAAATATAAAAATATTCCATAGCAAAGGTAATCTATACTAATTAAGCTTGAGTTTGTTTGTCCCTTTTTAAACGCGCTAATCTCGAACTACCCGTCGGATTTGAAAAATCTTTTTGCATTTGATAGCCCAATTATACAATCTACGGGGGCGAAGCAAAAAAGTTTCTCCCAACTGAAATTGCATGGAACAGCTACCAGTTTGTAAAATATAAATGAGTCAATACAATAATTTATAAAATTTCTTAAACGTTTCCAGCGACTATTATTCTATGACAGAACTCTTCACAAGGGGTTCTATGTAATTAAAATACAGTTGAACCGTGGTTGTGTTCGCGGCATATAAATCAGAGGCACACAAGGGTGCCTGTTTCGGCGTACTCAATCAATTTGACGCTGGAAAAGAATTACAGAGGCCTCCGTGTCAGAATAAAATATTTGTAAAGTCTGTTGGCATTCTATAAATAATCCATTCCGATGGTGTCCCGATGATGAATACCATACGAGATATTACATATTACAAGCTGTAGAAAGATAATTTAATGCAACGAACTTCATATTTTAGTAGAGAGTTAACAAAAATGGACAAACAAGTTTTATTTTACATACACGCTAACAAATTAACAACGTGGCTCTGTTTTAACGAATCAAGATATTTTTAAACATGTTTTTTATTCTTTCACAATTATGATTAATATATCTTGGTATGAGCTATAGAAGGTTTATTGACATCACATCCGTTCCGTACCCAAAGGGTAAAACGGGACCCTATTACTAAGACTCCACTGTCTGTCTGTGCGTCTGTCATCAGGCTGTAGTCATGAACCGTGATAGTTAGACAGTTGAAATTTTCACTGTTGATGTATTTTTGTTACCGCTATAACAACATAATACTGAAAAAATAATAAAAAATATTAAAGTGAGGCTCCAATATAACAGGCAAGATTTTGTTTAACGTTTTATAGATAATGGTACGGATAAAACCTTCGTGCGCGAGTCCGCCTCTCACTTGGCTGGTTTCTTTTTTTAATTGACGATAGTTGGAGATTAAAATTAATAATACAGACAACGCTGAGAAGACATGGCGTATCTGACATTCATGGAAGAATTTTGTTTATATACTTCTATCCTTTTTTTATATCTTCTCGTCGAATATACCTCAATGTTTGAAGACTAAAGTCTTCAATCAATGTGTGTTGCCAGTGATGACCTACGGAACAGAGACATGGTCCTTTACTGCTGGCCGTATGAGGAAGCTCAAAGTCGCTCAGCGAGCTATGGAGCGTGCTATGCTCGGTATTTCTCTGCGTGATAGAGTTCGTAACGAAGACATCCGCAGTAGAACCAAGATAACCGACATTGCTCAGAGGATTAGCAAGCTGAAGTGGCGATGGGCCGGCCATATAGCTCGTAGAACCGATAAACGTTGGGGAAGAAAGGTTCTCGAGTGGATGAAGAAAGGTTCACTAGATGGAGTGACGACCTGTGCAAATGTGCGGGAAGTCGATGGATGCAGGTGGCTCAGGATCATACTTCATGGCGGTCTGTGGGGGAGGCCTATGTTCAGCAGTGGACTCAAACAGGCTGAAATGATATTGATGATGATGATACTTCTATAAGTCATATTATTACATTATTTATGAGAGTTTAATCACAATAGTTACTGATTGAAAATAATCTTTTATGCCTTTTATTTTTGTGTGAGTAGTCTTTGCAGGGTTTTACATTAAAGACATACATATTAAATAACTTTATATTAAAAAAAATATTTTCATGTTTTTATCAATTAATTCACTTTAATCGTAATCAGTAAAAGTAACATTAAGTTGTGTTAAATTTATTTATTTTTAAATTGTGAATTGATCTGATTACTTATATTTTGAAAATAAAAAATATAACGCTTTTGATATCATACCTCACTTTACTACCATATGGATATCAGGATCCCCGTCTTCTTTAAGAAAAAAAATAAAACTAAGCATGAATCGAAATTTTGTTTATTAAAAATCTACCGTTGCTACCATTTTACAGACATAAGATAAATATTCACGGATGTACGATTTTCACTGTATCTTTTTCTCAACATCGGCATAATTATGCGTTCCGAAATATTTTTCATACAGATCCCGAAACTGTCCGTACGTTTCGGCCACATTTTGGTTAGAGGTCTCATCTCTGCTATTATATTTGTGACCGCAGTAACACACGTGATCCTTCCCACAAAAGGCGGGCTTTCCCTCTTTCATACAAGTCCGTATGCAAGTCCTCGCAATGTCCAAATTCGGACAAAAATGGGCGATGTGATGGCGAAGGGTTGGTCGATGTGAATAGTTTATCGCTTCGTCTATTTCACGTGGTGCACTTTCTACCGGTACTCTTTGAACGGCTGCAATGTTTAATGTAAATTTTTAATTTAAAATTATCGTGATTTGATAATATCGCGACTTGGCAGTCGATTTAACGAGGCGAAATTAGTAGACAAACAAACTTAAAATAAGAACTCAATTTCAAGATTATTGTTGCTTTTTTTTTTCTTGTTACTACCATTAAAGAACAGCAGAGCCAATTTGTTATAAATGCCATGTTTATTGTACGTTGGAAAAAATGTACTGTGTAATCTTAGACATGTGAAATCTGTAAATTTGACAATACAACACCTTTACTTTTTTATTAACAAGAAACTAACCGACAAATATGTCACTCACTATACAATTTCTATTGGGCTATGAGGAGTTCTTGCTGCTTCTCTAGAGTTCAAGTTTTATTACCGATGTGATTAATGTGCGACCACATGGATGTAAACAGAATCCAATTCAAAAATGTTTTTAAAATCTGTTCATAAACATGAAACATAAAAAGAACAAACAATCGAATTGAAAACTGTTTTGAAGTTGGTAAAAATTGCAAAAATAACTTGAAGTCAATAATATAAAGTAAGACTGTGTAAATTGGATGCTTCCAAATTAAAATTATCTCCTAGAGGGAGAACTGTATGTTTTTATGTCAAGCCTCTTTTTCTGTAAAAAAGTGGTTAAAGAGCTTCGCATGGTTCACCTGATGTTAAATGATATCCACCGCCCACGAACATTTGCAATTTTAATAAAGTGGGCCCCGTCTCCCTCACTCACCAGGCGAAACGCAGAGGTGTAACTAACACTTTTACTTCACGTTGGTCTTCTGTGAAGTCGTGGTTCTTACATGGACGGACCTGCCCATTCGTGCAACAGCGAACACTGTTACGTGGCCCTACCACAGTTGCCACTTCTTCCCCTTCTTTCTTTTGCTTTTATCCCACCTAGGTGGGGTAAGCACAATATGTGAGCATATTTTTAGTAGTTTTGGCTAGATTTTTTAGAACCAGTTGCCTGCTTGACGTCAACTCTTCTTGAGAGCAAATACCCAGATCGGAAACAATTATCTACCTACTGCTTGATAACCGTTTAAATGACTATTTAACGTGTTTTACCATTTTCTCCAAATTGTTGAGGCATATCCAAGCTCAAATCGCTCTCGTCAAACGGTTTTTCAGGTCTAGCCAGGTAAATCGTTTGAGGGTCATCTTTAAGAAAAAAGACAAGCCTAAATTATAAAGTTCAGTACTAGCGCACTTAAGTATAATATAAAGCGTGTCGTTACCATCGCGACAATAAATAAACACACATATATGGGATAACTTTTTAAAGTTGTATTAAACATTTAAATTCTTTAAACACCAATATTTACAGAGTTATTAAATTTTCCAAAACAAAGAATTTTAGAACACCCTTACCTATAAAAGCGTAACGAAAAGTTCATTTGTAAAGGTCACAAAGCATATGAATGATGACGAATGAATTTAAAAGAGACAAAACATACTGTTAGAAGGAGAGGCTTGTAATACGACGCTGTGGTGCGAGTAGTATAGGATGTTACAAATTTTGTTTCTTTTTTACTTAATTAGTTTGTTTGAAAAACATTTTTTTTTTCATTATGGATTTTGTTTAACGTTAATATTTTTTATGATTATTGGCAAGTAGCGTTAGACGTGTGTTCATTTATTGTCGCGATGATAACGACACGCTGTATAAATATGATTGAAAAATAGTACTATCCCGCCAATATTCCAGGACATATTGAATCGGTAATATGTAAAGATTGCTTAATATTAACTCCTTTCTGCTTTCCAGGTTAATTTTTAGTGGGCTTATTTATTGATTTATTGATTTTTTTTGATTTATGAAACAAATCTGCACCCAAGATGAAACTATAATGTTTTTAAAAGAAAAATTTGAATTGGATTTATCTATATGTGAATCCAGAGCTGCGTTTTGATTGCAACTGGCCCACAGGGCTCAACTGAGAATCTAATAGTGCCTGTGCACGCTACACGAGACTAGCACAGAAATTAAGTTAATTATAATTTAATTTACGTATCTATTAAACCCACATTTAAAATTTTTATCTCATTTCATTTAAAAATATACAGTAAGCTTCCGTAAAATTCTATCTCATAAAATAATATGTATTTAAATTTAAGTTTAAGTTGTAATAAGTTTATTAAAACAAAATTGAAGAATGAAGATCTTAAAACTGCAGAAATATTAAACAAATCATTACCGGTACGTTTAGAAGCTTGAACGGCATAAACACAGTAGCAATATTTCTCGATGCATAGACCAAGTTTTGTTCCGCATTTGATTCCGCAATATAGCTTGTATAGGGTACTATAACATACATCTTTCTCTTGGGGTTGGGCTTGCAAGGCGTTGTTATTTAAAAAGTTTGCACCGTCTGCAGAAGAAAAAAAAATTTGAAACTACATTTAAATAGTGTAATAATAATGTATTCTATAGTGTTATAATAATTTATAACAGTATAAATCATATCGTATGAAACACTAAGCTTACAAAAAAGTCTAATAAATATCTAAATTGACATTTATTGTGCTGTCCAAATTGCGACATCAAAAACAAAAACCGTCCAACAATCCGAGTCAAGACACCCGGAAATTACTAAGCACTAAAATTAGACAGTAAAAGCATACTTTCTTAAGTAGGTTCAGTAGATAAAACAGCTCAATGCACTTCGAACACTCTTGGTTGTTAATATGCAATGACGCGAGGTATTAGTGGTGTTATTAACGTCACAGATGTAAAAAAATTAAATTGTAACGCGGTTTTCACTTCATTACACCTTCAAAATCTATTCACAAAGAAACCTATCCACTGAACATCAAACAACTTTACACATGTTTATTACACATACCATATGACTACTACATACCACATTCACACTTACTAAAAAGGTAAAAGGAGCGGAATCCCTTAGGAGTTCCAAAACTAGCAATTTATTTATATTTATTACAATAATGTATGATTAATAAAAGACAATATATTCTTTAAACTTGAGCCACAACACTATGACATTCAGTGTGCACACTTCTTGTTATACAATTGAGGCTTAAACAATGTTATTTCATTTCATTCTTTTTCTAACCGCCCTGCAGTATATTAAACTATTTTCATGACGATGTCGCAATAGGAAATACTGTTCAAACCAAAGTCTATGTTGTAAACAAATTAAAACAACAATTAAAAGTTACCTCCAATGACGTATGAAATCCATAGAGAAAGCGAAAAGAAAATAATTCTTGTATCCAACATTTTTAATCAATATGACTTGCGAGCAACTGGTACTTCTTTTAACTAGTTGATAAGTGCATCAAATTGATTTTCCGAATGAAAAAGAAATTATCGAAAGTTAATAAAGTTTAATTTACGTTTTGATACCAATTTGTCACACCCACGGTTAACACACGTTTAAGAAACTACTTTTCATCGATTTATACGATCATGTTACTTTTTTTATATTTTAGTGTTTAAGGCCCTATATCGATTAACGAAATTCATACATTTAGAAGCAGCAAAAATTAAAAGTTAATTTTGACGTTACATTTTAATGAACAATTATTTTTTAAAACAAGCTTATTTATTAAATTATTATTTATTATATTAAATAGTATTTTCCAAAAAAACTGCCACTTAAAATTTGTCGTTAAAATGGATGAAAAGATTTTCGGGAATCGAACCCACGATCTCCAGAATCGCACCCAGCTTTAACAACTAAGCTAAACAGCTGATTGCCAGCCAACGAAAATCTCGACATATTTTATCTCCACATTCTTTTTTGATATATAAAAAAGCAACGTTTGACGCATCCATTGTTATGCCCTTTACGGCATACAAACAATTTCAAATAATGTCATACAACGATAACTCTAACAAGAGCGACATCCCTGTGGTGATGACAAAAAACTGAATAGACTGCCTTAAGGCAATAACTATATGATGTTTTCGTCAACTCGTAGGTATTTGGATAACAGAGCGGGGAAGAAGCGATGGACAGGTGGTCCTGCTCGCTGTTTCCAAGTAAAACTAAGTTTCGCCCAGGCGAAGAACGACAAAAATTAAAAAAAAAACTACAGTCGTTACAGTACCTAGCAGAAATTACCCGTTCAGAAGACACAGATGTAGTTGATATTCAAAAGAATTTACCAATTGATTTCCTTATTATTATTATTATTACATGTTTCCTTTATACAATGCGTATTACAATTTTCTCCTTTAAATATTCAGATACTCCTCCGAGACTCCGTGGCGCAGTAGCCAAGGTATTAGCTTCGGCGTCGTCGTCGCTCGTGGGTGTGGGGATCGATTGTTTCGCATCTGGGTGTTTGTCCACGTGAAATTTGTGTTTGTAAAACGTCCTTACAAGACCTAGGATAATGTTATCTTAAACTAAGGGCAATGTTTTTTAAAAAAAGAAAAGAAGAAATTCCTTAAGTAAAATTAAATTTCAAAAACTATCGATAAAAAGCAATAAGTGATAACAATTATCAATAGAAACGAAATTTTGCCAACCGCGATAAAGTTCGGTTAGCCTGTAGTCGGCGCGCTATTAACCGAGTCGTCGGGCCATAAACATCAATAAGAAAAGGAATGTCCAGTGTGGCCAAACATGTTATCGATAATTCGTTACCGGCGCACGTGTGGTCTATGAGTCACTGTGGTCCTCAATTTAAGTTCATTCCGCGTCTCTTTTCCCTAAAATGTCAGAAAATCAGTTTTAGCCATGTCTAACTTTACCCTCGGTCAATTTACAACGAAATAAAAAAAATAGTGTGAACTTTGTTATGTTCACGAAATAATCATTTTCTAAAATATATTAATATTTTGCAAATATTATCATATGACGAGGTGGCCGAGTGGTTAAGGCGTTGGACTGCTAATCCAATGTGCTCTGCACGCGTGGGTTCGAATCCCATCCTCGTCGAGCCTTTTTGTTGTTTTATTATTTTCAGCCAGTTTGTGTTGTACATGTTGAACAAATATTTCATATTTCTTGCATTATTTGAGTTTTAAAATGCTATTTGATTTTTGAGGGTCTTTTCCAATATAGTAAATAAAATGTGTAAAGTATATCTGCTCAAGTGATGAGTTGACCTTTCGTTCATGGCGTCTCCATTGTCAATGATTTAATTGTTTACAACTTCTCTTTTATTTGGTAAAATTTATTGATTACGCTTTAAAACCTAATTCATATGTAGAAATATTTGAAAGCGTCTTTCTATTTGTACGAATATAATATTATGTATTCAATACGAAACCGTTTACTGATCATATACCATTTTGCCACCGGCATACTATCAGAGTTGTTATAAGACCGTTTATTCGAAGTAACAGCGTGTCCTTTGCTCGTTGAAGCATTATTGAAGAAGAAAAACATTCCATTTTTTTGAAAAAGGTCTTAAGTACACTAGCAAATGAGGTTATGAAGTGATAAGACTGCCACCATATCACTGCCAAAACATCGCCATTGAACTTCTCTAGGCTCAGGTCAAAGGAGAAGTCGCATATCATTTATAACGCAACGGCCCTTTTCCAGGCCACAATACTAGCTGCTATGTTTCTATATTATTATTATTATTTCCCATAACGACATTCGCTTTTATTAATCTTACGTACATCACTATGTGTGACACATAAGTGTGAGCGAGATAGACATAAAGAAATAACTTATGGCCCGACGACTCAGTTGATAACGCGCTGTGGCCCAACCGTCGTCGGGGTATCAGATGTGACTTCAAACCTTTGGTTAGATTTTGTACATTTATATTTTATTCGACTTATAATTTTTAATAAATTAATTGTTGTTTTTATTTCATTCACTTAAAACATTTAAACATATAAATAAAATAGAACATTTAAACACATTAGTATTAGATAGGTAGATTTTTTTCAACTATGAACAAATACAATAATATAAATTTAAACAAAATAAAAATTATTCAACAAAATAGTAATAAAATAATAATATGAGAAAATATAATCGAATGTGTAGAATTGAAGTTGATCTAAATGTTGTAGAATTTACTGGTAGGCCAATCGGTCTATAAACTATATCTATATTGAAACTAGCCTTAACTGTACGTACAATAGGCTTCCATTTCCATGTGCTTCTAACAGTAACTTCGCTATTATCGCTACATTGTACTATTGATACATCTGACACCACCTCCAGTTCAGACGTAAATTGTTTCGATTATAAAACGTGGCAACACTTGGAGGAAAAAGGTCTACTATAAGCCTTATCATGATTTAGAGTCACTATAGGCATCCTTGATCAGAGCAGCCACCGTTATTGATATGGCCCCCGTTGGTGCTGCTATAAACAGTATCATTATCCCAGCAACAGAATCATCATCCCAGCTGTTAAAGTAGTTAGTTTTGACTGATATTCATTTTATCAAGATTACCTCTTTTTTAATGTATGTACCTACATCTTTGCCTGTGAATTTCACTTCTAAAAGTTATCTGATGATTTTTTCTATCAAGAAAAATCTACTAAGATCAAAATTAAAATAGATTTTTGTATAAAAATTGTTAAATAGTGCCTTGAAAACCTATTTTTTGTGTAGTCAAGCCTTAAATGAGTAATTATAAAAAACTTGTCGTACCTAAATTACTCACTTATTATGTACATACATGACATTATAGAATTTATTTTAGTTCCCTTTAAGCGAAATAACAAAATCGATAACACAATTTCTGTTCGGGCTCGCCAACTATCACATCGGGTCTAAATAGCTTCGTTGAAATGCCTCTGACAACGTAATTGGGGAATACGGTGAATAACTTTGTTAATTAATCACATTCAAGTTTATCATGACAAGGCAAACACACCGGTGGAAATTTAAGTTTAAAAAAGTTGCCTGATGTCTAGCTACAATTCGAATTTGTTACCGGTTTTTAAGACGCTGTTCGCTGATGCACGAATAGGCAGGTCCGTCCAGAGAAATACCACGACTACTTTACTGACTGAAGACCGGCGTGGAGTTGATGTATCGTACTTCTCTGTATCGTCTGAGTGAGTGAGGTAAACGAGGCCCACTTTATCAAAGGTGGCAAAGCAATTACAGCCTACTTTTGTTGCAAATGTCCATGGGTGGCAGTTGTCACTTACCATCAGGTGAACCGTCAGCTCACTTGCCACCTTCTCACCTAAAAGTATTCATTTAAATATAGATGTATATCATATTTATTGTTGTAAGTGTTTAATAATTGTTATCATAATGTATGTATACATATTATATAATCCTTATATAGCTGGCACCTACACTTCTCTCTCACTAACATTCCGGTTGGCTGGTAGAAAATGCCTTATGGCATTAAGCCCGCCGTTTGTACCAGTTAGTACAATAAAGTGTGCAAATAAATAAATAAATAAAAATGGTTATGGTAACATGCAGGCTAAGAAACTATATGACGAAAGTTTCTTTGATTTTTTAACCGACTTCAAAAACGGAGGAGGCATTTTTTATGTTTGTTACCAACTAACTTTCGACTGTTAGAACCGATTTTGATGATTCTTTTTTTTTTATTGAAAGCTGGTGTTTTCCATGTGGTTCCATATTAATTTCATTGTTATTGGATTTTGAGCTCCGGAGATACGTGGGATCAATTATAAAATGCGAGATATTTGCTATTATGTACAAAGCGAGATATTTGAAGTCGGTTTATTTTTCATTAATAAAAAAATTTACTTGTAGTACAACACACTGCGATCAGTCTGAAAGTATAATATGCCAGCAAGTCATTGTGTTTTAGCGGTCCGATGACAGATACTAATTTCATATGATTAACTACAGTGCTCAAAGCGACTACGATCCGTTCCTTGCGCCGGTCATTTGTAACTTTTCCGAATCTTATGTAATATATGAAAAATAACGTTACAAAATTTGTGAACACGTCAACAATATATGTATACAATGAAGAATCATAATGTTACTCCAGTAGATAATTGGAACCATGTAGGAGTTTACCATTTAAGATTACATCTTAAATTATAAACGCAATAACGCAGTAACACGGTCAGTCTCGCCTTGAGACAGTCATATTATAATTGAATTGGAAAAATGACACGAGCCAACTTTCAATTCCTTTATTGTACGCATTACGAATCACTATATAAGTTTTTTAACGAAATAATTAATAAATTTTAAAGTTTTTTTATAGTGCTAATCTCTGCACTTAAGATTGAACATTAAAACATGTAGAAAAAGTACGAAAACAATGTCGCCGCTGTGGGAATCGAACCGAACCCACGTCTTCGACCGAAGACGTGCTTCGGTCGAAGACGTGGGTTCGAAGAAGCAATTAATGTTTATTTAAATTATTGCCTTTCAGGCAGCGATGTAATAGACAAATAAAAATACTACAGAACAAACTAAACAGAAAGGATATTTAACATACAAGTTACATAGAGTTATATGAACATATAAAACACAAGGCGTTGGGGAAGAGAAATAGGTGATATATGAGGACAACGCCTTCTGCGTTAAATACTTTTATAGAAGCGACTATCATAATAAGAGCACCAAGCTCAAGTACTAAGCTTCCTTTATGTTTCTGATATTCCTTTATAATTCAGGATGCCTGTCAAGTAATTATAATATGTCCTTCAGTCGTATTGACTGTGACTAACAAAGATATTTATATTATTAGTTTATAATTTATAATGTTTCCAGTAGCGACTGGCCGGCACCTTGCCTACATGATATTCAATCAATTCCTTAAGGAGATGCTGTAACTGTCATATTTTTTTGTGTCAACCTTTAAATATAAATTTTTTTGAGATAAATTATATAGGAAATGAGGAAAGGTAGAAAGTGATTTGTGGTAGACATTTTTATTTTAGTGACAGTTGTATCAAAAAGTCGAAGTCAAGACACATTATTTCAATGTGAAATATGTATAAATTATATGGGAGTATTTCAATATTATTTTTAATCATATTTAATGCGTTGACTTAGTGTCATCATCTCTTTCTCTCAATAACCGATAGTTTTACCGATTTGCAGAATATTCTTAGATATTGCGTCAACTAGTTAATTTATATTCCGCATAATAGTACGAGAGCTATCAACGTCGGGAAAACAAGAATTTCAGTCCACCAGAAGACCAGTTTTGAGATATGCTATCTGTCTCACTCTCCCGTCATACGGGCTATCTGGCTGGCGATAAAGGTTTTATTCATCAGTTCACATCGCACCTCTATAGGTAAAATATAAATTTTTCAAATAATTTTAAGGTTTAGTTTTTTATTATTTTAATTGAACTCTTTGCAACTTGAATCTATTATTGCCAGATATTTTTATTGTTGATTAAACTGTTACAAACACTAATATCTAAAAAACTGGCCCACCTGAAATTCTCTTTAAAAACGTTGCTAGCTCTTAGACTTTAAGGTTCGTATTCGTTAGTCGTTCAATCTGATATTGACTTACAAGATTTTACACAAAACAAGTGCCAAGCTAAGTCCAATTACAGAGAGAATTCAACGACTCCCGAGAGGCTGAACTTCATTTCCTTAATGATAGAAAGTTAAAGCTCATTCCGAGCTATATTGTGAGCTCCTCATCGAGTGAGAGTTTGCTATTGGGGTTTCCTCAACCTGACGCAATCAAATTGTTGAGACCACGGGGTGAGCTTCGGTGACCCAGTCACGGTGACAGGCAGAATTTTTATTCAACAGGATAGTATTAATTCTATGGGTTTAGTGTAAAAGTATAATATACTTCTCATACAGTCTCAGAGTTTATTAAAGCAACGATAATGCAATAGATGCCACATTAAAAGGAAAATGGTTGTATGTTATTATTTCATTTATACCATATTCTAAGTTACATAATTCATAGAAAGAGTGGCTATCTGCCGTTTAGCTCAGTGGCTAGAGCGTCAGGCCGCGAATGCCGAAGACGTGGGTTCGATTCCCACAGCGTCGACAATCTTTCGTACTTTTTCTACATGTTTTAATGTTCAATCTTAAGTGCAGAGATTAGCACTATAAAAACTTTAAAATTTATAAAAAGCAATGGCGACATCTCTCGTTCGAATTATCGTTGTAAAACGATATTCGAAATTGTTTGTATGCTGGAAAGGATATAACAATAGATGCGTCAAGCATTGCTTCAAATGCTAAATAACAATGTAGAAAGAAGGCGTTAAGATTTTCGTCGCTGTGGCTATCTGCCGTTTAGCTCAGTGGCTAGAGCGTCAGGCCGCGAATGCCGAAGACATGGGTTCGATTCCCACAGCGGCGACAATCTTTCGTACTTTTTCTACATGTTTTAATTATTAGGTTCTGTATTATATTTAATAAGATTACAATAATAATATTTTTAATCTTTTTTTTTCCTAGCGAGCCTTAAAACTTAACATGACACTGAAAATTAAACGCAAACATCTCTCTGTTTTCTTTCATGTACCTTTACGCTTTGAACATTATGAAAAAATTCACCGGTATAAATTATTATTTGTCGTATAATTGTTTACGAATAAAGCCATTTTGAAAAAACAGTACTCTTTATACCAAATAATTTATACCAACCTTCTGTACCCAGCATTAAAATTAAAGACAAAAGTGGCAAAGATCCTAATGAACTCTAACTGTAAACTGCTTCAGAACTTTCCAGTAGTTCACCAAAGTTGTCTATTAACATACTTTGAATTCTTTTAATGAGCAAAGAAAAGGTTTTAGTGAATTAAGTAGATGCGGCATATTTGCGAGTTAATGCATAGTTCTTACAGATATAGTTTCTGCGATTTCAGAGATTTTCAGAGATTTAATTATTACGACTTAAGAAGTAAGACAATGAAATTTTTAATTTCTTTATCGTTCACGTATTAATCGATGAACCATTAAATATGACCTTTTCCTTTCTTTCCGATTCAATATAGTCAAATTTAATTTTAACAAATCTTCGTGCCTAACTTTTTTAATAATGAGACAGTTCTTGAAAAATTCCTTCAATGCATATTACATTTTTGTTGTAATGAACCACTTTAAGGTAACCTACTATAAATTTTAATTCCATTAATAGTAGGTATATAAAATTTGTTATAATCTACATTAATATAAGAAACAGCGAATATTTGTTTATTAGTTTTGAAAATTGTTTGTAATGGATAAACTCAAAAACTACTACAACGATTTTTAAAATTCTTCCACCTATGTTAGCTATATTTTTTCACAAGCTGAAATAATAATATTAAGATAGTGGCAGAGATGGTAGAGTAGGTAATGAAAAAATATTAAGGTGAAATGAAATTCCCAGGGACAGCTATAAAACTGTGGAAGGACCATGCAACAGCATCCGCTGTTGCACGAATGGGCAGGTCGATCCGGAGTAATACCACGGCCTCACAGAAGTCCAGCGTGAAGTGGAAGTTTTACACTTGTTCGTTTCGTCTGGTGAGTGGGGTAGCCGGGGCCCACTTTTTTAAAGGTTGTCAACGCATCTGCAAGCCATCGAGCTACTGTAGATGTCTGTGTATTCACTTAACATCAGAACTACTAAGATGTTAGGTACAGGATAATGTGGGGCAATGTACCATGTACCAATTGACCCATATTATGATCAAATTAAATTTATCTGTTCCTATGCGGCATGGTATTGAGGTGTGAAGCGAAAGAGGGGTCAAAGTTTTCATAAACATAAGTCAATGATAATTCTTAATGTTTTTTCTCCTCCTAAATGCTACGATATAACAATGAAACAAGTTGGTTCAATTTCAGACTAATTAAATCAGGACAAGAGAATTAGATTGGCGTCGAAAAATATCCCTTTTGTTCCTTCCAAAGATTCTCGTAACAACGGCCTTTTGTTTCAATTCAGAGTGATGGAAGAAATCTGAAAAAGAGAATACTACAATAATTAGTACGGTTAAACCATAAAAAACGCCCTTTTTTTAAATGGATAATTTGATCATAATGTTGATGAAGAATTTCGTAGAAAATAAAATCAGTTAAAAACAAAAATACTGGATTTGCCGTTAATATCGCTCTGATTTAGCTTTAAAAAGTGTTTTCTTTGATTCTCCTATCTAGATCCATACCATACACGTATTTATGTATATCTTCATTATCGTTTTGAAATGTTATATATCCTGATTCTCAAATTTTATTTTCAAAGTGTATGGTGCACGAGACGGTTTAAATTTCTTTGGTGTTTACGGTACACAAGAAGAATAAATAAAGAAGACCGGAGAAAAGAATTTACGACGAGTATATGAGTGAAAACGATGTCTCTGAAGAATATATTATATAGACAAGATTTGCCAAATGCTTATGATATATGCACGTATCCATAGTCGTGGGAGACACAGACATCGTAAGAATAGTAGAAGTGAAAATACGTAATCTCTATGTGGCCCTCTATATGACAGGCATGAACATATATTAGACTAGCTGCTGCCCGCGACTAGGTCTGCGAATAGGCTGAAGACGTAACATTCAGACAGAAAGACAGATTATACATAAAATATGTATATAAATTATAGCCTATGTCTTATTCTGATATATATGATATTTTATTGTAAAGTTTCATTAAAATCTATTCAGTAGTATTTGCGTGAAAGAGTAACAAACATCCATCCATACATACAATCTTTCGCCTTTATAATATTAAGAAGGATTATTAGGAAGCATACACCATCGGGTAAATTTGCATAATAATACTGAACGATAGATAAATTGAAACTAAAAGTACATGTTCCAAACAGAAATTTTTACTATTAAAATAGTTTAATTACACAACGTATGGTTTTCTGGATGCGACGTATTCCTTCACTCCCGGCAGGGTGACGATCTTCTTCATGAGTTGATCCACGTTGGCGTACTTCTTGTTGATATCAACTTGGAGTATCAAATTAGCAGCCTCCACGATTCCAACAAGAACAAAGTCGGTCCATGTCAGCTGAAAGGTAAATTGTTTAATACCATTAAATGTTGTGTTTATCTTAGTATTTTTATTTAAAACTAGCCGCTGCCCGCGACCGCGTCTGCGTGGAATAGGCTGAAGGAGTAATATTAAGACAGCTTTCTGTCTTTACAGATATACATAAAATATGTATATAAATTATAGCCTATGTCTTATTCTGATATATAAGCTATATTATTGTATTGTATCTTTAATAATATTGTATCTTTCCGAGGTTGATGTACGCAAATAAAAGTTTTGGATACTAGATCTACTAATTGACGACCCTGGTTGCTTGCAACTGATGCGTAAATTACATAGCAGTAAACATTGAATACGCGACACTTGAATTTTTTATTTCATCCTTATTTTTTTTAAAAGAGATTGCACTAACCTTAGGATAACATTATCCTGTGCTGTAAAGACGTTTTACAAACATAAATTTCATGCGGACAAACACCCAGATGCGAAACTACTATCTGTGGGTCACGCAAAATAGTTGTCCCGTGTGGGAGTCGAACCCATGACCCCCGACGCCGAAGCTAATTAACTACGATATTTAAAATGCAAAAAATACCTTCCCATTGAAGAATCCCTTGTTCTCCTTCAGTTGCTTCTCAAATCGAGAAAAGTAGAAGTCAAGAGTTTCATCGATGAGTTCCTTCTTAATTGTCGCTTTTTTGGCGGGATCCTGTTCCTTGAGGAAAGTAACGATTTCTGAAAATGTACATATATAGTTCAGAGGATTAGCAAGCTGAAGTGGCGATGGGCCGGCCATATAGCTCGTAGAACCGATAACCGTTGGGGAAGAAAGGTTTTCGAGTGGAAGCCTAGTACTGGCCCTTGCATTGTAGGACGACCCCCCACTAGATGGAGTGACGACCTGTGCAAATGTGCCGTAAGTCGATGGATGCAGGTGGCTCAGGATCGTACTTCATGGCAGTCTATGGGGGAGGCCTATGTTCAGCAGTGGACTCAAACAGGCTGAAATGATGATGATGATGATGACATATACGTAGCGTGAACAAAGGGATTGAAGACGGGTGACGCAATAGTCGAAAAATCTACTCATAAATTCATTTAAATACACATAGGGCAGGGCAGACTTTATTCGTTTTCTACTTTTCACATGTTTTTTTTTACAAGATAAGAAATGAAGAAATTAATTGATACTAATAATAATAACTTAAATAAATAATATTAATAAATTTCTTATATGAATTTATAGTTCAGTCTTCGTAACTTAAATGTATAAATATATAAAATTTTAAAAGTAACGATAGCCATGTGAAGGCATGTGACAGAAATGCGAATACTTACTTAACCAAACGTCGTACATTGCGAGTACGGCACTGTCCAACATGGCCTGCTCCCAAGGATCGTTGGGCAGAAGGTTGACTTTCTGGGCAATGTAACGGGCAATGGCTACAGATTGTGAAAGTTTCATGCCGCCTTCTTCGTACAATGGCAGCTGGCCATACGGCAGCGCTGTTAAAACGACCAAATCATATTAAATCAAAGATTTGAGAAGAAAGCTATCACGCAAGAATATAATACATTTGAATTTTTTCTATTGAATGGAATAAATACCACCTGAATCTTATCTTAAATATCTTATTAAGAAAACTATTTTCTAACTCACAGTCTTTGATCTTCTTGTCGGGCCATGACTTTATGTCGTATCTTATGTCTTCGAACTTTTGACCCCCATAGTGGAGCAAGTACCTAATGGGCTCGGCGAACCCGTTCAGGTCGAAGTAATGGAGTTTCTTGGCCATGTCTTCAGATGTAGCAGTCCACCGTTATGAAGTGAACTTCGCCAATGAGTGACAGTATTTATAGTGTTTTCACCTATTTATCTCATTCGAATTTATTTGACATTTCATAACATCGTGGATTTGCGATATCTATTGCCCTTGGAGGTGAAATTTCCGATATAATTACATTATACAAAGTTTAAGAACATTCTTGCATTGTGATAAGCGGGCAGCGGTAATTTTTTCACATCTAAATTAACAAAACAATATATTCTGTTGAATGATAATAATAAACCTGTGAGGTTGCAGCTTACCTTTTGAAATCTGGGCTCTCGTTACCTCACTCTCATTTTAATTTTAGTACACTGTCATGCAAAATTTACATTTACACGCTGGTCTTCTGTGAAGCCGTAATACTTCTCCAGACGGGCTTGTCCATTCGTGGAATAGCAGTAGCTGCTGCAACCACCGACAAACGTTTAAAGAATTTATGAGCATGTCTGTACAGATTCTTAGGTCGTTCTGTCCTTATATGGTAGACAAAAGTAAGCATCACGGCTAAGAGGTGATCTGTTGAGTGGCCTATAATATGTATGTATGTAACAATCCATGAAATCTGTATCGTAATCTTAACGAAGGGAACTATAGTTTCAATCAAATAAAAAAACAAAGATTTTATCTAAATCCATAGTTTAAATCGTGTTGTGTTTTGAATTCTTCTAAGGAAATCTTTTTGACCCGAACACTAAACATGAAGAAGAATTTCAATAGGTCAAGTTAAAGTTCAACAGCTTTCAGAAGTATTGCTTCGTTACTTGAACAATATTTTTTATTGAAAAGAACAGCTAATGTATATGCTATGTATATGAATGAAAAGGCATTTTTCCGTAATTACTAGCAAAAAGATCTTTAAACCAATTGCTATAACTTGGATTTTTGTATTTTATCTATTTTGTAAAAAGCAGCATATACATCTGAGAATAAAAAGGTATTTAAGGACCCTATAGTTAAAGCTTAATTCATAAAACTGCATTCCAAACCATATAATGTATAATAAAGCATTCTATACAATAAAGTAAAAAGTTTAAAAAACCAGCCTCAGTCAAAAATTTTTATTCAAAACGTACTTTTTTTAACATGATCAAATCATTAAAAACGTTATCGTATTGTATTTTTTCAGACGAAGAAAAAATTGTTTTGCTGATGAGTAGTGAGTAATATGTTATTAACGAGTTTTTTAATTGAGTTATATGTAAAGTTTGTTTTAAATCCTTGCCGTGGTACTTCCCCGGATGGACCTGCCCATTAGTCAACAGCGAAGACTGTTAAGTGACTTTACCACAGTTGAAAGAAATTACATTCCAAGGGCCCAGCAATCGGCCACGGCTTTGGTTTTTGACACATTCGATCCTAGTACGAACAATAAATAAAGAGTCACTTCAATCGTGTTATTATTATGAACGTAAGTTGTTTTTGTCTCTTATCATATTCAAAGCGTGTCGTTTCTTTTCGGTAAACCCAGCGGTCGGTCCACGTCTTTAACGAGTGTGTTTTTAAAGTAATAACGAACAGCGAAATAAATATTTAGTTTATCATTTTCTTTATCTCGTTGTTACTGCACTGTAAGATTCGTATGACATTTTGGTAAACCTATTAAAAAAAAACAAAACAAAATAAATTATTCTAAGGTATGTAAGGGCTGCCAACACACAGGAAGAATGCGAGGCGTTCGTACCCTCTGAACAGTACATCATATCGTGGGAGAACGATTGATAAATTTAATCATTCTTTAAAACATAAAACTAGCTTAATTCAATATAGATTTTGATACTGAAGTTGGACAGATAAGTATTATTAATATTACTTGCAGGAAAGAACTTGCAGATTTTCAAAACATAAACGAAGGTTTTTTATACATAAAAGCATAAAGTTTGCACATGTCACTACCGGCTAATTCCTCGATAACCGCAGGGAGTAGAATGTACACAAGAACCAACATTAACAGCACTTTCGTGGACACTCATCAAAATGCACCCTAAGTGCCCTCCACGCCGGGTCTCCCGGTACTAAAATATTTCTACACTTTCAAAAGACATAACTATTATTATTATTCTACATTATTTGTTAGTAAAACAATATTCGATTTTTGAAAATAGTAACGTAACGAGTTCATAAAATAACAAAATAATTAAAAATCTTAAAATTTGTAACAATAAAAAAGCGTTTCAATACTTATTTTGGCACCCAATGGCGACAACCCAATTGGCGTAAAGGATAGTGACCCTGTTTCTTACGCCAAAGGGTGTGGGTTCGATCCCCACTACTGGGACCCCACTACTGGAAAAATATTGTGTGAAGAACATAGCGTTTTTCTAATATCTGGATGTTTATATAGTTATAATATGTATTTATTTACAAAAGAAAAGTACGTTTAAGTATGTTTATCAGTTACCTAGTACCCATAGTACAAGCTTTGCTTAGTTTGGGACTAGATAGCGTTGTGTAAAAATATGTCCCGTAAAACATTATGTATTTATGTTAGAAACAAAATGAAACATTACGTATACGCAATTTGTTTAAGCACACAAACCTACTTTCTGAACTTAACAAACTGTAATAGTTTTAATGATATTTGCACATGTCGCTCAGCGGCTTTTTCGACCTACTCGTGTTTATTATTTAAGTTTTGTAACAAACAACATGTCACACATTCTATATGATGGCAAAGCCTTTATTAATATATTTATGGATTTAAATGTGAATTACTTACTTATGAATTACTTATTAAGAATTCCACAGTCAGCTAGAAATCTATACATAAGATTCTTTTCCCTCGTGATTATTTATTTTATGTCAAAAATGACAACGTAAGCAAAGTCGTGATTTGATCTAATATTGTTTTTTTTAATGTAACTAAATCAATTATTTCTCTTTTCTTTACTTGTATCGATGAATACAATCTATTTACCGTAAAAATGTAACATTGGCATTTTCTCTACAAGTCTCAGGTACAAGGTACGTACATATTCTTGTATATTATGCACGATACAGACAGAGGGTGCATACTTGATTATTTTAACAAGAGCGCGAACGTTGAAATGCGTCTAAAGTTACGTGCGTGCGCAACCACTAAAAGGAATGCGGTTATATTGAATTTAAAATCTGTAAAGTACTATGAATATTGAAACAATTTCTGTATATCGTCTCTCAACTATTTCTGACAACAAAGTAAAGTAAATCAATCCTACTTCAAAATAAGTTTACGCTCTGCACATCTTTATATGATTACGAGCGAGAGGTATTCATCATCACCCTTTCAGCCTGTTCGAGTCCACTGCAGAAAATAGGCCCTTTCGCAGACCACCGCGAAGCACGATCCTGGTCCACCTGCATCCATCGACTTCTCGCACACTTGAACAGGTTGTCACTCCATCTAATGGGCCGTTGCACACTACGATGGCCAAATCGAGAAACTTTCTTCCCCATCGGTTATCGGTTCTTCGAGTTATACGGCCTGCCTATGCCACTTCAGCTTACTTACTCATTAACTATCCCCCTGCGGACTAAATTTTATTGAAAATTTATTTTGAAACAAAAACAAAACTGTGACTGTCTATTCAATTTTGTTTACCCTCAAACTACTTTTCTTTTCGTCGTTTATTAATGTGTATTTTCATAATGATACATGTAGTAGTTACTAGTAATTTTAAATTGAAATAAAAAAACTTATAGTGTATTACAATTACTGAAAACCCAGAATTACAAAATGTAGCTCATGTTCGGGCCTTGTAATTAAATGATTCACGAAGACAACATTTTGAAAATTTTACATTCCCTTTGATTTCAACGCCGGAGCCGTTGATTTATTATAGAAGGGTGTACACGTTTGTGATCCTCATTAAATCTTCTAACGAGAGTTCTGCTTTAGATATCTAATATGTTTGTTGCGAATGCCTGGGACTCCTTTTGAGGTTGTTCACATAAAAATTTGTTGGTAGGGTTACTACGTAATTAGTTCGTTATGACGACTTACAAACACCATTATAACCATATATTTAGGAGTCACTTTCGACTCACGTATGACGTTCACGTCGTATATTAGAAACGGAGCCGCGTCTCCGGCCGGCTAAAAAAACAAGCAAAATGCCCTACTACTATATAAAGCGTGCGTACGGCCAATTATGTCCTACGTGTGACTTTCGTCCACACAAAAAGTAGTTACACACAATTAGTCCAAAATAAGATTATCTACCGCGCAACCGGTGCACTATGCACTTTGGTACCAACTAAACGTCGACCTGCACAGTGACTGCAGACTCCCGACGATTGGCGAACATTGGCAAAGACCCCACCAAGCGGTTCTTCGATAGAGCCGAACATCATCCTAACCCTGCGGTGGTAAGCGCAGCAAATTACCAACCCAATACTAACGCGAACGTCAGCTAGAGTCGACCGCGCAACATCGTCATCGACCGGGTCATGGAAGGGGACATACGTACGTCGGACCCACCGTCGGGGGTCCTGCCAAATAACACACACAGTTAGTGCAACAACAAACACCATAGTTCGTCCTCGCCTTCGAGCACGGCGAAACCAACACAACGCGTACACGTAACGCAGGTGTAGCGTTCCAGGGCGGTTCTCACCGCCCCGAGCCACCGATTAACCAAGCACAACGGCCATCGGGCTCACGGTCCGCAACGAACCTCGATGCAGGTGACACTCCATAATTTACTCACGCATGAGCACATGCGTGGCATGAGCCCTACGCACTGTGGATGGCCTCAAACCCAATAAAAATATAAAACATAAATAAAATAAAAACTATAGATGACTAGGCCTTGATTTTCTTATCCAACGAAAAAAAGGTGTAGATGAACATCTTTTGTCCTAACTAGCGTACCCATTAACTAGAAGAAAATGTAAGCATTAACCGCAAAAAGCAATTTATCGCAGACTTTCCTTTTTCTAACACAATAATAAGCTCCTTCTTAAAGTGAAAACAACTAGTCCGCGAATTA